ATAGTAATAGTAATAGTAATAGTAATAGTAATAGTAATAGTAATAGTAATAGTAATAGTAATAGTAATAGTAATAGTAATCAAAGTTTAATGTCTTTACGTGGGGCATGGTTACCCATATTGCCCGAGCCAGAGGCTCATGTATGAAACGCAAGACAACAACCCACCCATCCCACCCCAGGGGAGGACATCCATCACACAGTAATCTCGTGCGTGGGAAATTAACGTCTCCTACCCCTAACCCTGCAGGAGACGGGACCTCCATTTATTCGTCCCTATCCGAGAAGACTAGAATATCTAAACCATTTCTTGATGTTATAGAAAGGCAGCATATTCTTCTCAATTATTTTAAGACCTTGAGTGTTGGTCCGGCCGGGGCTCGAACCCTCGACCTCCCGCACATCAGTCCAGCGCTCTATCAATTGAGCTAACCGGGAGGCGGTTAGTCAAAGAAATGTTGTTTCAGTCAAAGAAATGTTGTTTTGTCGCTGCTGAAAAGCGGTGAGTATCTCACGATAGCTTTCATTTTTCTGTAAAATTCAAATGTAAAAATCTCGAGCCCTTGGTACAGCTGTCAAATTGCAATCAGTCAGTTATTAAGGCTACAATATCTATCAGTGATGAAGAACGGGCCCTCGATTTTTAACGAAAAATTTCTCTTCTCTTTGCAAAAATATTAAAAGATCATTAAAAAAACTAAGGAAACTGAGTGCTCTAAACTTTGTGTTATCTCAGTATCCTTATGAGTAAAGCGTGCGTGCCCGGGATTCAGATCACAGAATTACCGCCAAAACTGCAAAGAAGAGGTTTCCTTTCATGATATTTTCAACGCATCAATCAAATCTCCTTGGTGCTGGATATTTCTACGACCTGAAAGTGTATGATTAAACTATGGGCGCTTGGCTAAGAAAGAAGCCCCTATATTTGCAAATAACAAGGATTATGGAAATTTCATTGCTTGGATGAAGGAAACTCTAATTTTCTTTGACAAATCGATCGTCTTTCCGGCCCAATTTGTCTTACTGATATTTATCAATCAGTTTGAAGTCCTAAACTCCTATCACCAATTGAGATTCTAGTCAAGCATTTTCAAAAGGTTTACCGGCCTAATAATCTACGTAGGTTTTTTATCCATCAAAAGGCGCACTTGTTTCAGTCAGTTAAAAAAGCGACTAATTTACTAATTGCATCACTTTCAATTGTTCGAAGCCAGAGCAGATGTTTACAGATGTAAGAATACAAAAGGTTTTCCGTGATTTATTCCTCAATTTATCACCGTCGCTGACGTAGAATCAGTGCAAAATCCATCCATCCCGGCCTCATCAACGAAAAAAACAGTAAAAACTAATCAAGTCATTATCACCCAAATACATAACTCATCCTATCGTCATTTCTAATGAATCTCTTGAAAATAGTTTTTCAAGACGAAAATCACCTATTTCCAAACCACTCTTGTTAGCGACGAGTTAATCAGGATGTAATGAAACGAGCTTAACACAGCCATTACATCACCACTGGATGTTCGTTCAAATGAGTGTGAGTATTTGCGACGAATTATTTATAATTAACTCCCCCAAATCGGTGTTCTTTTGCCCAAGAGATCCGAAGTTTGTAACAAAAATTTCACCAGTGCGTGTTTTTCACCATGGGTTTTAATATCAGTAAAGATTGTCTTGTTAAATCTTTAAAATGAATGTTCTTATCTCCAAGGGATCTGCAGTTTATCCAAAATCTTCATATTCACCGTCACAGCCATGGCTGATTCATATACACCTTTGAATCATGAAAATTCAGAGTTGTAACATTCTGATTACTAATTCGGTTTCCCCAGATCTCTTAGCAGGTCAAGTTTGAAGCATCATTGAAAAAAAGAAATCGTAAGGACAAAAAAATTACGTTTTTTATTTCAATAAAGACGTAAATATTTGAGTAGGCGAAACGGAAATCTAAGCAAGGATCCCCTTCGCTGCAACAGCTTCATGATTACGGTGTCAGTAAACGACAAGCCACTGAGTAGAAGTTGAAAAAGTTCTCAACCAGGTTTTTTCTCTGCGTTTGAAAGATATCTTGTCAATCCTGTCTTACTGAACTAAAAAGAAAATGAGTATTCTTTTAGATAGGAACGAAAGGGCTTAAATACTCGGCGCTCAAAAAGGAAAACAGTATCAAATGTTTCTACGTGTGATGTCGGGTTTTTTTTTTCTTCTTTCAGCAGAAAGACGTTTAGTGGGATACATGTAGTTTTCATTCTCAATCACTTCATACTACTGCTCAAGTCACAGAAAAAGATGTCTCAAACGACTACCCAAGAACCTCTTAGTCGCTCGATAGCAGAAATTTCGTTGCAGGTAACCTTTGCCATTCTAGTTTGCGTCGCTTCCATACTCGGTAATGTGCTGGTCGTTTATGTTATACATAAATACTCCGAAATGCGAACAATCACCAACCTTTTTATTCAAAATCTTGCATTGACCGATATCTTCATGGCGACCCTTAACATGCCGTTCTGGATAATGAGCTTGTACAAGGGAAAATGGAATTTGAGCCAGAAATGGTGTGAAGTTTCGGCATCAGTGCTAGATACTTTGGGTTTGGCCTCCATATTAACTATGAGCTTAATTGCCCTGAACAGATACGTAAAAGTCGTTAAGCGAGCCTTGTACATCAAGCTCTTTCCCAGTAAAAGATTTGCTTGGCTGTGCTCTGGTGTCGTCTGGCTGGTTTCTGTGCTAATCGCCACACCTCCGTTGTACGGATGGGGAAAAATGAGCTACGACCCAGATTATTTTCATTGCACATTCAACTGGAAGGAAGGACACTATTCTTATGCCATGCTGATTGGAGGGGTCTTCAACACGACAACATTTGCAATATTTTACTGCTATTGGAAAATTTATCAAACAGTGAAAGAAAGCACGGATAATGTCAACGCCAACGTCGCACAAAATGGCGTCGGTGCACCAAGGTTCCATCGTACTGACGTCAAAGTTTTGAAAAGTTGTTTTGCCGTGGTTTGTTCCTTTTTACTTACATGGTGTCCAACGGCCATAAGCGTTTTTGTAATATCTGCTGGAGTCTACATTCCACACGAAGCGTTAAAAGTAAGTACGTACCTGCTGTTCTCCAGTAGTCTGGTAAATCCGATCATCTATGGGATTATGAATCCGCAGTTTAAAGAGGCCTTCAAAAAGGTACTCAGTTGTGTTTGTTATGGCAACGATAATAGAGATCAGAGTCATGCAAGAGTTGGAGCTGTAATGATACATCCGAGGAGCAATGAAACTGGATGAATACTGACAAGATCTCATTAAATGCTTTAGTGCATTATTTTTCGTGTATTTTATAATCTTTTCTTTTACTAAGTCTGTTATAATAATAATAATAATAATAATAATCAACTTTATTTAAAGAGGGTAAAACACATAACAGTATAAAACTGACAAATCAGTGGCCCTCTATTCTGTTCGGGGAAGCGTGTAGATACTGGCTCCATTCTTTCTTATTTAATTTTAGTCTGCCATAACGCTTGGCTCGGCCCTTTAAAAGACATACGCAGACCTTGAGTACTACAGACATTTTTAATTTGCTGTCGAGAGAAATCCCGGATTGCATTGGTCTTTCCTTACTTTGCACCGTGATTGGTTCGGAAAACTTGCGCCACTCTCTCGACCAATCAGAAGCAAGAGTAAAATTAATCAGGACCGTTGATCGCACTGGTTACCCTTCCGTCGGTTTTAGACTGTTTAGTTGGTTTTATTTTGAGTTCTCATTGTTTCTTAAAGGTATTTTCCTCTTTTTCGGTTGGCTATTTGGATTACTTTGGGTTTTGGTTGTATGACATTTAATCGAACAGCCCTCTCTTCAAAGGACATCAAAGGACTGAAAATTATTGCCACAATAGAATAGAAATCATTCAGTGCATCATTGATGTTTGGGCCAGACTTGAAGTGATTTATTTTTACTTGGACAACATGGGTAAAAAAACTATCAGAAAGCAAAACAGAAATTAATAAAGCTTTCTCAAACATGAAAACGGAGATTCAGTCCGTTGTTAGCAACTGCTCGAAAAAAATATCCAGTCACAGCACGCATGAAATTTGTTTTTGCCATATGTCTACAAATCTCTATGTAGAGAGGATTTAAAGCTGGAAAAGTATTCAAGAATAAGATTAGAGAGCCTTGCGTATAAGTGTCGTAAAACCAAAACCAGATAAAAAGGAAATAACCTATAACTTACGTTTATATAAACTATACATAAGCAGAAGACAAAATCTATGGACAAAGTCTATTGAAGGGCCGACTAAGAAAAGCGAGGGCAGTGGCCGATTGACTCTACTGAAATTTGTCTCCGTTCAGTAAAAAATTCTTGTTGAGTTTTATTTTTCTATACCAGTGATCGTAGGAAGGCCGAAGGCCAAACGTTGCCAGCAATGGGTCTCAATTTTCTGGCGCTTTAATCAAGAAGATTTGAAAAACAGGGAGGTGATTCAATGTTTTTACAAGAGATAACGGGCGCTTTTCTTTCAGGAGAAAGACGTTTATGCCATTCGCACTTGTTGGATACGAGATTGGCTATAGTCAGCTCGGCGTTATGCACGCTTTTGGCCATGTACAATCTCATATCCAACGTCCGCACTTGGAATAATTGTTAAATATTCAACCCAGAGCAGCGCGCGACAACTGCTCCACAAAATTTTGTGATTGTAGCAGGAATAAATCATTTAAGACACTGTAACAACCATTCACTTCATTTTCGGTGGCTAGAAGGGGATATTGACAATTCGCCAGCCAATGCTTGTCTACAATGGAACAAGCAAGATGCAACATATAGGTGATCTATGTAGCAACAAGTCCCTCGCTAGCAATCTATGTTCTGTCGGTATTTTAATCATTGTAGTAATGGTCTATGCAAGAGTAGCTCTTACTAAAAAGGCGTTCAAATATGTAGTGTAAACTCTGTCCTCACGTACTGAAAGCATCAGCTTATGAACAATCGAATATAGTACTTAGCAAGACTCTAATTTTGAGCAGTTTGTTGCTTTTTAAAGTGAAGAAGTCATCTTAAGAAATAGCAATCTCTATTTCGGTTATATTAGCGCGCCCCTGAGGCGCCGAGATGGAGAACTTCTCCCCCTAACCACATGGTCTAGATACGCTGTTGCTTGAGAGAAAGCCCGGGGGGGGGGGGGGGAGGAGAACTCGGCCATCAACCTGGTGTAGTGTACGGATTAATTCTTGCTGAAGTCTTTAGCTTATTTGTGACGATTCTCTAAAGGACGTCTTCTTTGATACAAGTTATTAACTTGTTCAAGTAATGAGTGCAACAAAGTTGAGGAAGAGAATAGCCTTAAAGAAGATAGAAATTGCCTTGCAGAGCAGACGGACACTAACTATCGAAGTTCAAATGAACCGAACAGAAACACGGATGGCTAAGCTGAGGAGCAAATTAACAGGGATCCAAAATATGGAACTAAATTATAAAGCCTGAATTTTCTTGCACGCCATAGACATAGTTTAGCTCATTATTTAATTTTTTTTTACTTAAAAAAAGGTGTTAGAATATTTAGGAGACACATCGTAACGCTGCACAAATGTTCGGTTAAGAAAAAAAATGGTTTAAAAGCTATTTGAAATCTACTATGAGAAAATAAACCTAGAATATGATTTGATTCATTACTCAGAAAGCAGGCTATGAGTTTCAGCTAAAGAAAAGGAAAAGTATAAGCCGGGCGGTACGCTGTGTTATTAAAGCAAAAAAATAAAAATTTTTCAGACTTGAAAGAAACCTCTTTACACCCAGTGAAATTCTCCCCTGGAGGGCAATAGTAAGTAAGTAAGTAAGTAAGTAAGTAAGTAAGTAACTAAGTAAGTAAGTAAGTAAGTAAGTAAGTAAAGACTTTATTTAAAGATGGTAGCACTAAAATAGTATAGAAATAGTAACAAACCCGTGGCCCTCTAAAATTATGTACAATACGGTTGTTAAAAACTATGGCATAACTATGAGATAATATAACGAATAAAATACAAGAGATAAGAGATAAAATCAATTAATAGTACAAAAGTATAACTAAATCACAGAATAAAATGATTTAAAAGCTGCTGTTCTTCAAAGAATTTTTTCCAAAGAGAGTTCCTAAAAGAATTTAGCGACGCTATTTTCCGCATGGAATGAATTATTTCGTCAAAACAAGCCAAGATACTTTATTCACAACATTATAAAACCATTCGTTTCTAATTGCCTCAACTGTTTCAACGCTTATCGATAGTGGCATGAATTTCGAGAGGACGATTGAAACGTAAACATCACCTGTACTCTTCAGCACGATTTACCTGCACCCCATTCCTTATTTATTCCTCGATCCCAATTCCCCTTTTCCCATTCCTTATTTTAATAACATCTCCTGTTCAGTCTTGAACTTCAAAAAACTTCAAAATGAATAAACATATTTTGTGTCGTGGCACCTTTTCTGAGGACGTAAAAAGTAACGGGCAGCCTACTTACAGGTGAATTTTCAGATAGTGCGAATGTCCAGCATTAATATGTTTTAGGCGTTAAAAAGATCGTTAAAAAAAGTGAGGAAACTGAGAGCTATGAACTCTCTGATTTAGGCTGGCGTTATCTTCACTTTACATCTACTGGAAGACGATTAGGAAAGGGAACTAGTATGACATCGCCACAAAGCAGGTCTGTTCTTTCTTTGCCATAACAAGCAAAATGCTCGACCATCTTACATTCAACTTTAAGTTTTCCATCTCTTCTAACTTTGTACATACAAATTAACTCTTAGAACTATGGCAAATGGAATTTCATGTCCGCTGTGAAAGAACTGATGTTTATTAGAGCAGTTGCAGACAACGAACGGAATTTCTGTTTTTACGTTTCAATAAAGCCCAGGGGGCCCACGCAAGCGGCGTGTCTGGTCGTTTGTTCGAAATATAAAGAAATGTATGGGAGTATATTAAAGAGTCGTAATATCGTAAACTTATATCGAGGAATGTCTATGTTAAGGCTCAAAATAAATGTAAACCTACCTCACTTGCTGTGTATTGTCGTTTCTGTGGTTCTAAATGGTGAATTTGAGCGATTTAGTAGATTTTGCGTTGAGTGTTACTTTACTGTATAAGTAGGAGACAAGGGTGGAAGGCTCATTTTGGACCGCTCCAGCGCGAAGCCGATTTTCACCCAGAAATTAGAATCGCCCGGCTTTCAAATCGAACATCAGATAAACTAAAAGGTTGCCGCTTCTTCTCGTGTCATTCAATCGAAGATCCATTCAAAATCCAAGCGCTAACCGCCGAAAAACTTTCGAGATATGCAGCTTTCCAAGCAATCGGCATCCGCGGCACAGATTTCGTGTGCCAGGGAGCAACCGTCACTTTGTTTGCTCCACGTTGATTGGATGATGGTAAATAATGCCTTGTTTCAAATACCTCATGTGAGAGGGGTGTCAGGGGCATATTCGCGCCGGCGATTCATCCACTGACTAGCCTGGTGCGAGGTTTATGGCGCGTGACGAAAACCCTTGACGACCTCAAACCTCTTTGTTCGCGTAATAATCACAATTATCCTCTCAAAGCCCATTGGGGATCGATCATGACCTATGCATCTCCAGCAAAACGGTAACAAGTTTGAGAGATCAATAATATTCTGCACTTTTAAAAATAGGGTTTCCATAAAACTAATAAACTCATTGTTTCTCCGCAGAAACAGTCAAAAAATATCACGAGCACATCCGCAGATGTGCGCTAGGAAAGACCACGGAGGAAGTCAAAATGAAGAAGAGAAAAAACCTCAGAAAAGAGAGGGTAAGTTTTTTCCGTTTTGCTATCCGTTCGACCAAGGAAATCGAGCGAAGTTAACGATTCAGCCGTGACTGTTACGAGTTTTTTGTTTGAAAAAAGCCCTCCTATCGACGGTAGAAAATAATGTGGTCATCTTTCACGGAATACGTCACCGGTGTATTTAATCAAATTTCCATGACTTCTAGCTCCGTCTGAAATTAAACTAAGTTATCCTAATAAAATTGTACAAAGGTCAATTTTCTTTCATAGAAATACGAAAGAAGAAAGAGTGACCTCAAGGGGCAAAAGGAGACCCTCGCTTATTCTAAACTTACTAAGGAGCACATGTCAACGGACTATGATGCCAACAACAGTGAAGAGGAAGGGGGCTGGATTTCAAGGCCCCCTAGTTACCGAAGTCACGCGCTGAATAACTTTTTTAGAAAGTAAGTAATGCTCACATGCACTCTTTAAATAAAGTTAAGATACGAAGTTGAAACACCTGCAT